TCTCCCGTGGACTAGTCCCGATCATCGGGGAAACCACGTAAACAGTGTGTCTCGCTTTCTGTTTCGCTTCCGATATTCACTTCGTTTTGGTTTCAGGTTTGACAAGTTAACATGGTATCAGAGCTTTCATCTCTCGATTCGGATAGGATTTCTGTGCGGCTGACCTCGAAGAATTATTCGTTATGGGCTTTTCAATTTCGGATGATAGTTGAAGGTCGTGGTCTTCTTTCAATCTTGGATGGTACTGCTCCCCGGCCTTCGGTTCCACCGTCTACAGATCAAGATCTCACTCGCTGGATGCAGAACAATGCTAGGGTCATCTCATGGCTGCTCGGATCGGTGGATCCTTCAATAGCCTTGGGGCTTCGTCTTTTTACTACTGCTCATGAAATGTGGACGGACTTGGCGGCTACGTACAACACCAACACCACCAGCAGCCGTTTTGATACGCAGTTTGCTCTCTCCCGACTTCATCAAGGCGACCTGGACGTGGCCTCCTACTATAACGCTGCGAAGCTGCTGTGGACAGAGCAAGATTTGCTCGATGCGTCTCTGTCCGGCTCGGCCACCATATCTGCTGCTGTTCTTGCCGACCGCCAACAAGCACGGATGCTTCATTTTTTATCCAACTTACGGCCAGAATTTGAAGCTGTGCGTTCGTCCTTACTCAATAGGGAGAATCTGAAATGGGATGGGGTGTTGAGCAACCTCATTCGAGAGGAAACTCGGCTTCTCACGCAGGCGAAGATTGATGTCCGCCCCGGCTCGGCGGAACCTGCGTTTGCTGCGAAACCATCGCCTGCCGCGGGGTCCTTCTCCTCGGCTGCTCATGATGCCTTTGCGGTGGGTCGTCCACAGTTTCAGCGACGAGTTCCGGTGTCTGAGTTGGTGTGCCACTTCTGCCGCAAGCCTGGGCATGTTCAAAAGTTCTGCCGCCAGAAAAATTTCTGCTACTATTGCAAAAAGAATGGTCATATTATCTCGGACTGTGGGTTGATCAAGCCTCGTCGTCAGCCCTCTTCTTCCACCGGCGGCGCCTATGCTGTCCAGTACATGGCCGAGTCCACTCCTGCTCCTGCCGTGGCTTTTGCCCCAGCTGCCTCTGCCCCAGTGGTGGCTACTGATGCCATTGAGAAAATGGTAAATGATGCACTCCAAAGGTCCCTTCCTACGGCAATCTCTTCAGCTTTTGCATCTCTTCAACTATCAGGTAAATCTCCTAAGCCATGGTTATTGGATTCGGCTTGTTTCAATCACATGTCGGGTAGCCGTCAGTATATGAATTCTATTGCTCCTGTCCGAAATATGTCCATTCAAGTTGCAAATGGGCAGCAATTGGGTGTTGAAGGTATTGGCAATGTTACGTCCCAAAGGGTGTCTTTACCAGACACCTTACATGTTCCTAAACTGGTCCCCAATTTGGTGTCTGTTGGACAACTCACTGATCAAAATATGCGTGTTGTGTTCGACTCTTCTGGTTGTGTTGTTCAGGATCAGACGACCGGGAGGGTGATCGGAAGGGGGAGTAAACAGGGATGGACCTTCACGTTGGAAGAGCTCTCGGGTCAGCCTACATTGTCCGTTTCTACGTCATTGCCGTCGGTGTCGAGTCTTGCTTCGGTGTCTAGTACTTCTGCTTTTTCGAGTCAGCGTCATGGGGATTTTGATTTGTGGCATTCTCGGTTAGGTCACCCTCACAAGAGTAGACTTGTAACCATGTTTAATCAACAATTACTTGGAAATAAAAAGGTTGATAGCTCTTCCCACGATTTTCTGTGCACTAGTTGTGTTGAGGCTAAGGCTACTCATAGCTCTTTTCCCTCGAGTACCACTGTCATTTCTGATCCTTTCCATGTGGTGCATACTGATCTTTGGGGTCCCTCTCCTACTACCTCTCGTCATGGTTACAAGTATTTTGCCCTGTTTGTTGATCATGCCACGCGTTTTACATGGGTTTACTTCTTGAACCTCAAGTCCGATCTGTTAATCGTTGCTACTAAATTTTTAAAAATGATCCAGACTCAGTTTGGCCGTACAGTTCGTATTATCAGGTCGGACCCAGGTGGGGAGTTCAGCTCTCATCCTTTGGCTTCTCTCTTTCGCTCTCAAGGCATTCTTACTCAGAAATCCTGTCCTGGGATCTCACAACAGAATGGCCTGGTCGAGCGAAAGAATAGACACGTGGTTGAACTTACTCGGGCATTACTCCTCGCCTCGTCTGTTCCTTCTAGATTTTGGCCTGAGGCTGTTGCCACTGCTGTTCGTCTTATTAACTACCAGATTACTCATGTCCTCGGTCAGTCTAGTCCTTATTTTGCTTTGTTTCAGAAACACCCAGATTATTTCCGTCTTCGTGTGTTTGGATGTACGTGCTTTGTTCTTCTTCCTCGCAGAGAACGCTCCAAACTTTCCTCTAAAACTGCTCGTTGTGTCTTTCTTGGGTACAGTGACATTCACAAAGGGTACCTGTGTTATGATCCTTCTGTGTCTCGTCTTCGTATCTCCTGTGATGTTACCTTTTTTGAGCGTCTTATGTTCTTTTCTGAGTCTGCCGAGTCGTCTCCTTTTGTCTCCTCTGATCCGTGTAGGCTGCCTGAGTTCCCAGATGATATTGATGATGATGCTCCTGAAGACCTACTCCCTCCCGACTCCCCTCCCGCCTCTCCAGGCTCGTCTTCGGCATCCCCGTCCTCCTCCTCGGGATCTGATTCACCTGGTTCTTCTATTGGGGGTTCACCTTCTCCGGTTCTTGCTCCCCGACGGTCTCTTCGCTCCACGCAAGGCCAGCTCCCAACCCGGTATAATGATTTTGTCACGTATCATGTTGATGCTTTATCTGTTCCTACGAGCTATAAGCAGGCGGCAGGTGATCCGATTTGGGATAGTGCTATGCAGGCTGAGTTTGACGCATTACATGCTAGGGGTACATGGACGGTTGTTGATCGCCCTCCTCCTACAGTTCCTATACTTGGCAGTCGATGGGTATATGCATTGAAAATCAAGGCTGATGGTACTCTCGAACGTGCCAAGGCTCGTGTGGTTGCTCAGGGGTGCGGCCAGGAGTATGGCCTGGATTATGATGAGACGTTTGCTCCGGTGGCGAAGATGCAGACTGTTCGTACTTTACTGGCGGTTGCAGCTGTCCGTCAGTGGCCTTTATTCCAGTTTGATGTTAAGAATGCCTTCCTGCATGGGGATTTGAAGGAGGTTGTGTACATGCGCCGACCCCCTGGTTATACTGTTGGACGTCCTGATCAGGTGTGTCTTCTCCGTCGCTCTCTCTATGGTCTCAAACAGGCGCCTAGGGCGTGGTTTGAAAAATTTCAGTCGACAGTCCTTGAGTTGGGATTCCAGCAGAGTCTCAATGACCCATCGTTATTTACTCAGTCGACGTCTCGTGGTCTCATTGCTCTTCTTCTTTACGTGGATGATATGATCATTACTGGGAGTGACTCGGTTGGCATTCAGCGGCTCAAAGATGGTTTACATGCGTCGTTCGAGCTGAAAGAACTGGGTTCAGTTTCATATTTTCTCGGCCTTGAAATTGATCGGTCCCCCCGGGGTATTCTCTTGAGCCAGAAGAAGTATATATCGGATCTGTTGAGTTCCACTCAGTTTGCTGATTGTGCAGCCGTTTCTACGCCTATGGAGGCGAAGTTGCGGCTTGGCAAGGACTCAGGTACGCCGGTTGAGAATCCGGCTCAGTATCGTCACATTGTGGGGAGCTTAATCTATCTCACTTCCACTCGCCCTGACATCTCTTTTGCTGTTCAGGTGGTTAGTCAGTTCATGGCTGACCCTCGCGTTGATCATCTTGCTGCGGTGCATCGGATTCTGCGTTATCTTCAGGGTACTCGTGATGTGGGTCTGTTTTTGCCATCCTCTGGTTCATTTACTCTCGAGGCGTTTTCGGACTCTGATTATGCTGGATGTGTTGATACTCGACGCTCTACTACAGGATGGTGTGTTCGGTTTGGTGATGCTTTCATTAACTGGCGGTGCAAGAAGCAAGACAAGGTATCCAAGTCCTCCACGGAGGCTGAGTATCGTGCGATGTCCGACGTCAGCTCGGAACTTGTTTGGTTGCAGAGGTTGTTGATGGATTTGGGTGTTCACTGTGCATCTCCTATGCTTCTACATGTTGATAATACCAGTGCCATTCAGATTGCCGTCAACCCGGTTCTCCATGATCGCACGAAACATATCGAGGTGCATATTCATTATGTTCGGGATTTAGTTCGTGATGCGGTGATTAATGTTCGTCATGTGATGTCCGAGCACCAGCTAGCCGACTTATTCACTAAACCGTTCTCTCGTGCTCGGCACCGGTTTCTGTCTAGCAAATTGATGCTTCGGGATCAGCATCAATTTGGGGGAGGCTGTTAGTGGGCTTAATCATCTCAATTGTAGTGTAATGTATAGTTGGGTTTCGGCCCACAACTTCCTAGCCGAGGTTGCCCTAGGAGAGTCGGCTAGGGGTGTGTGGTGAATGTATATGATGCAGTCTTGGTGGTTTGTAGAGGGGTAAGAGAGAAAAACCTAATAAGATTACAGCTCGGAGAGTGCTATCTCTCCCGTGGACTAGTCCCGATCATCGGGGAAACCACGTAAACAGTGTGTCTCGCTTTCTGTTTCGCTTCCGATATTCACTTCGTTTTGGTTTCAGGTTTGACAAGTTAACAGGTCTCCCCTCCGATGTCGGGGGTATCTGCATGTAGAGTAGAGTTGAATGCTCTGTAACTGGGGAAGACTGCTTCCGCCTGTAAGGAGTTTAATGCTTTGTATCTGTGGAAGACTTCTTCTGACAGTGAGGAGTTTATTGATCCGTCCATTTATGTACTAACTGTTTAGGTAGAGCTGGTGGGGCCAAAGGGCACATTGAGGCCACTGTTGGACGATTATCACCACGGACCTGATCAGGCACACGGTTATCCAAATCCAACTGGGATCCAGGGCGGCGGAGCAAAGAAGCGCCATTCTCGTCTAGTAGAAGTAGTTGATTTCATCATTGCATTCTATTCTGGCCATGCTGTACCGTCCATCCCGGTGATTGGGTGAAGCCATGAAAGAAAGAAATAAAAGGCGATAGATACATGAATAAGTGCGTGTCCAATCAATAAGCCACTAGGCTTTGTCAATGGAAGATCCATTCCTTACTGATATGCACTTGGACAGGAAACTATGATTTGGTATTAGACAGCAAGTGATAGTACAACAACTCGTTCCATGTATCCGGAACTCCAGGAAGACACCAATGGCTACAATCTTGAACCTTGTTACTGTGCCGACTCTCGGCTCTCTTCCCGAACAAGGATGGATGGCCATCAATCCGAAATTCGGTCAGCCCAGTTATGTCCAACAACGTCACTGGAGTTTTCATGTTCTTGATGATTTCTTCCATGAACTTGGTCTTCTCGGAATCGGTCATGCCCATAGTCTGGTTAAGAGGTCGTGTGGCTTCCCAGCAATGCCCTCCTGAATCCCATTGCCCTCCCCTGTTTCATTTCAGTTCCGGCCCTCGCCAAATCAGCCAATATATTCAACAACAGGCATCAGGGCCCGGAAAAAAGAAATGTCTGATTGGCTACCTGAAATGAGAAGGCGCTGAACTGCGAAAGAAAACTCGAGTTTTCCTGGGACTGATCTGATCATCAACCCATGATCCCCAAGTTGCGATCGCTCTTCTATAAGCCGTCCCAACATCGAGCTTCGGATGCACTTGGTCACCTTCCTGGTAATAGTTGATCCTGTTTTTCGTGCGTTTGTTTCCACATTGTAAAAAAGAAAAGAATTTCACTCACATAATTCAACCAAATTTCCAAAACCTGCTCACCCAGCTTTGGTTTTGGAATGGGACCACCAGTGGGCAGAGTTGAAGATGAGAACATCAGCTCCTCGCCATTTCGAGGAGCCGCGATCCATGGTGTCTAAGCGCAGAGTCTGGAATCTCTTCCTCCCTGCTCTTCCTTTTCCCTCGCGCACCAGGAAATGTGACAAGTAGTACTCCACCGTGCATCCGTAGTCCTGTGAACGACAGCTCCGTAACTTTCAAGTAGCTAGAGCGAATATGAACTTGTTCAACTAGAAATTCATTCTTTCTAAACGAAAAAACAAAAGGTAGTTGCACGAAACAAAGTCTGATGCTCACGACAAATCTGAAGCTGTAAGTTGCTCCTTTTTTGGTAATCCTCCTCCGGCGGGTTTCGTACACCTTGGACCCATCTTTCAATGCTGCACTAAGCATGCAAAGCATGGATTCCCATTGGTTCCTGTTAATTGAATCCCCAACGAAAACCAGCCGTTTGCCTCGGATTAGCTCAAGCATTCTAGTCGCATTGAACCTGTCATGGTGAAAGGAATTGCCATTTCCAACGGGATCACATCAGTTTCAGCAGCCACTTAGGAAATCGACAACTAACTATCTTCTAAAAGATTTGGCTAACCAAGAAACTTGAAAAGAATACCTTGGAATCTCACAGTCTAGAGGCTTCCACCTCCACTTGGTGTAAAGATTATCGGGCCTTCCATTCCCGGCACAATCGAAAGCTTCATCGATGAAAGGACACGACCGATTGCTGTAAAATGGATAGCTCGGATCGTACACCCAATTCCCTCTCGTGACGTCGCATTTCCTCCATTTCCGATCTCGAACAACCGAAGAAGAAGCTGCGCCAATCACTTTCGTCTCGGAAATCTCAATCCCACTCACTACTGGGGTTGCGCCTTTAACCCCAGAAGAAGTTCCCTCCGTTGAAATCGGCCTCTCACTCTGCTTCCTCTCCTCTCCTTCATCGTCGTCCTTGTCTTCTTCTTTTTCTTCTTCAACCCTTCCTCCACTGGTAGCCGTCGTCTTTCGACCGGAATTAGCAACTGAATCATCATCTCCATAAAAAATGGGAGTGAACCCACTGGTGTTTTGTTTTCTGGAATGGGCACTGAATGAAGAGGAGTTTGAAAGCGGTTTGAGATAGAAATCGATACCCAGGCGGGTAGAAGTAGCATTCAGCGCAACACTGGGCTCCTGCTGCTGCTGATGTATTGCTGAAGGAATGGAACTGTACTTCCAGATCGAAACAAATGCGAGGAACATGATGGAAGAAGAGGAGACGATGATAGAGAAGAGCAAGAATCTGGTGGGTTTTCCGGTAAAACTTCTCTGCCTCTCCATTTTCTAGAATGGATTGGGAACTAGAGAGAGAGAGAGAGAGAGAGAGGGAGGGGAGTAAAGAAGCAACGCAGCAAAAATGTTGGGGAGGGGAGCAGGTTCAGGTTGTGTAGCGGTGCTGAATGGGAAACTGGTGGATTCGTTTTTTAATCAAAATTCAAAACCATGGTTGTTAAACCAGATCAGATCGTCCACCCGGTCTAGTAAGTGTGCGACCGATTGTATGGGTGTTAAATCGTAGGATTGGCAAAAATATTTCAAATCGTGGATATCCGCCCGGTCCGACCTAATCGGGTAGGAAAAATTTCGAATCCGAATAATTTTTAGTGGGTACAGGTAAAACTCGAACTCTAGGTGGGTATGGTTTTTTCACTATCCAATTCGAATCCGCCCGATTATACACCTGCATATGTACTTTGTCTAGGATTTATCATTATTTTTGTCGACATATTGATTTGGGCATAACTACACATGTTTTACCCTCTCATATCTTAATTGTTTGACTTGGTTATCGTCATTCCTCAACCTATTTTACGCTAAGTTTTGTTTCTTTTGTTACATTACAGGTTCTAGCACATGTGGGAAGGTCGAGGACAAGTTTCGGGACGATTGGCGGTCGAAAAATGCCAAAAAGTGAGGAAAAGGCCAAGGTCACGGACTGATGGTAATTCTCATGGTCTCAGAGGCATGACAATTATGCCCAGGGCGTGACATTTGTAAGGATCAGAAGAGTTTGCACATCTCGAGGCCTAAAAGTTGTTAATTTCACCATACCATTACAATTGTAAAAATGCTGTGACATTGGACCAAAAGGGTTTCGTTTTTGTCTGAGGTCACGGCTGGGCTACAGAAGTCACGGTCGTAACATTCAGGCGGTGACTTTGACTGTCAGGTTGTATAACAGGACAACAGTGGGGAGAGAGAAAAGGGAGTTGATTTTGGAGAAGAACTTGGTTCTCTCTAGGGTTTCGGCCCAAAACACCAAAAAAGAGTTCTAGAGAGAGAGAGAAAGAAAATTCTAGACTTATCTTAGAGCTTAATTGGAGCCTTGGATTGATCTTGGAGTCAAGGATTAAGTCTAGAAGATGAAGAAGATGAAGATCTTGAGCAATTTTGTAATTTCTTTCCTCTTCTCTATGAACTAGACCTCTTTCTCTTATGTCGGTGAACCCTAGGTCTAGATTTTGGTTCGAAGTTGATGTATGTGACAAATTCCATGTTTTGATTGATGAATTTATATAAGTGTTGGATGGTTTTCATGAACTTCATGAGTTCTACTTGTCAATTGAGCTTTTGACCTAGGAGGGAAAAAATTCCCTTAGAGCCAATTATTAGTACCTTCGGGTCACTCCTATCATATGTTATCCGGGAAAACCTCGAGGGAGTTGAGTTGTTAGACTTCCTATCGATATATAAAACCCTAGGTTGAATAGAACACCTACCCATCCATCACCTCGTCGTTCCAGGTCATTCTCGAGTGAGTCTAACTCCTAACAATAAGGTAGTGAATCGATCGAGCTAGGATAGTACTCAAAATCGAGCCAAATGATAAAACTTGGGGGAATCAAACCTAAGAGAGCTTCCAAACTTGTAATTAGCTAGGTTAATGGTTAGCTTAGATTTCCTAATCACTATTCTAGGTTGGTTAGATACCGAAACCTTAACCCGAAGTAAGGTAAGCCTGGATCCCCGTGTTTCGATAAATTTTATTGCTTGCTTACCCTATGCTACACCCGATCGCCGGTTATACTTCATTTTCGATTGGGAATTTGTAGTTAGAGCGAATCACATAATTTAGATTTAGCATACAAATATAATATTTTTATGAAATTGTGTTGTTTGAAATTAATTTTCTTCATTCTAGTGAATTATTGTCGTATATTTCCACTTATATAGGTGAGTATACGGGTGAATGTTAACATGTTGGGTGGAGTTATAAGTGAAATTATTGCCCATGGATAACGGTGGATACCCGAAACCCAATGTTTATGGGCATGGTTTTGAGTTTCTACCCGATTCTAATGTGGATATGGGTATGGGTAATACCCGAACTACTTTGGGTAGGGTAACAGATATGCACTATCCACCCCCGACCCGATCTGTTGCCATCCCTATTCAAACGGAGTGGTTACTGTGGTAACCGTTTTAACCGGTGGTTTACGGATAATTTGGTTTGGTTAATGATTCAGGTGCAATTGTCAGAGGTGTTCAAATGGTTACCGTGGTAATAACCAAACCAATTAAGCCCAAATTTCATTAACCATGGAATAAAATGTCTTAACCAAACCGTCCAAATTAACACGAAAACCAATTAACCAAACCAAAGTTTAATTGGTTTGGTTAATCGGATAATCAGATTAACCAAATAATATAACATTACATGAAAATAATTATCTCGTTAATGAATAAACATAACCATATGTTATTACTACCACAAACTATAATTATATATAAGCAATAATAATAAGACTAACCATCCATGATTATCATCATCATTCGAGTTAATACATCATTCATCATCTCTGCAACTAATGTAGTTAGCTTACAATAAATCCTTAATATAAATATTAAATACATACCAATACCACTCATGAGGAAGTTAAAGCTCTCCTACAAAACACTTAGACTATACATAGTTTGAGGTGGTTGTCATGGTATTGTACGTAATCCTATAGTCTAGTGGTTGTCCAAAATGTTTTGGTTTAATAAATAGGTAAACCCATTTAATTTTTAACCCATAACGCTTTGGTTTGTTGTGCATATGGAAATAAAATAGGGAATCACGAAAATTTGGTTTGGTTGGTTGCATGGAAGCATAAATAATTTTGTATATTAGGTGTATCATTAATTGGTTAATTGGTTTCATTGGTTAGAATTGTTGAAACCAAACCAAACCACCTAAACCTAATAAGCTAAAGTGTTTAACCAAACCAGACCAATTATCCAAATTAACCGAATACTACTGGTTAATATGGTTGCCAAGGTAACCAATCCGTTCGAACACCCCTACCAATTGTACACATTTTAACCCTCATTTCTTGTTGTTTTGCTTAGTAGATCACCGTCCCTCGACCTATTTTACGCTAGGTTGTGCTTGGTTTGTTACATTTCAAGTCCTAACACGTGTAAGAAGGTTGAGGACGAGGACGAGTTTCGGGTCGATTGGAGGTCGAAAAACACAAAAAGTGAAAAATAGTCAGATGTCACGGTTTGAGGTAAAATGTCATGGTCACAAGGCCGTGAAATTCGATACATCACAGCCACCAGACTGTGAAAATTAACCACAGACCATGAAGTCGTCCTAAAATTGGCCAAAATGCAGCGTTTTGGTCTGATGTCACGGTCAGAGCTCCAATGTCACGGCCGTGACTTCTGACCGTGACAATTGATTTTCGGGCTGTATAAAAGACAACATCGGGGGAGAGAGAAAGGAGAGCTGGTTTTTGGAAGAGAATTTGATTCTCTCTCTAGGGTTTCAACCCAAAACATCAAAGGGGAGTTCTAGTGAGAGAGAGAGAGAGAGAGAGAGAGAGAGAGTTCTTGAGTGATCTTGGAGCTTAATTGGAGGCTTTGGTTGATCTTGAAGACAAGGATTCAAGCCTAGAAGAAGAAGATCTTGGGCTCCAATTTGTAAAATCTCTCTTCTCTCTCTAGAAACTCATCCTCTTCTCTTGTGATTTAGAACCCTAGGTTGTCTAGATAACGAACCCTAACCAAAGTAAGGTAAGCCTAGATCCCCGTGGTACGATAATTATTATTGCTTGCTTGCCCTATGCTACACCCGGTCGGCGGTTATACTTGGCCGTCGATTGGGATGTTGTAGTTGGAACGAGTCAAGTTTTTGGCACCATTGCTGGGGAGCACATTCTAGGTTATCAAAAAAGGTTTAGGTTGTTACTTTAGCCGTTTTGTTTTCGTTTTGTGTTTGTTGACCGACTCTTCGCTTTGAAGGGTGGTTTGTGTTTGTTTGATTGATTTTGTTTTTGTGTTTTTGTTTGTGTAGGTTGAATCATGGAACCTAATGGCTTCTACATTATGTGGGGGTATCCACAACCACACGAATGGGGGTACCCCAAACTTCACACTCCTCGATTGCTGCTTCTCTTCCCACTTCTTGTCAAGCCCCAATCATATCCCTTAAGAGCCATATCTTCGAGCAACTCGGTCACTTGAGGAGGGCTCATGTTCATCAACCTCCCTTCGCAAAGAGAGTCAATGAGGATCTTTTCTTCCTGAATGAGTCATCCATAGAAATTTTCTATCCGAAATTGCTCCTCGAATCCATGGTGAGGGCATTGGAGGAAGGAGTCGGAGAATCTTTCTCATGCATCCCTTAATGTCTCATCCTCCTCTTGCTCAAAGTGAGTGATATTCTTCCTCCACTCGACCGTCATGGAAGGAGGACAATATCGGGTCATGAACTTGCTGAGTAGGTCGTCCCAAGAGGTGATGGATAGAGCCGCATGGTTGTTGAGCCATCAGAGTGCCTTCCCAGCCAAAGAATAGGGGAAGAGCTTCAATAGCGACGCCTCCTCGGGGACGCCATTTATCTGTAAGCTTCCTGCTAGCTCCAGATACCTTTGGACATGCTCTCGTGGTTATTCATGGGCAAGCCCGTGGAAGTAGGCATTTTGTTGAATCATCTTCACGAGAGAGGGCTTGATCTCAAAGTTGTTGGCGGTCACGGGTGGATGTAAGATGGGAGATTGGATATCTGCCGCCCGTGGACTCATGTAATAGCCCATATTCTTTGGCCCTTCCTCGACTCCCGCTTCCCCATTTGGGTTCGGAAGCGGATTAGCCCCTCAGTGTTGATTTCCCGCCATCTCAACTTCAACTCCTCCTTCAATTACTTCAATTACGGGACCAACTTGTTGTCCCCTTTCTTCACTTCTCCTTCTTGCCTCCACTTTCTCTCTCGAGCTAGAAGACGGAGGGTCCGGTTGATGTCCTCGTCTAGTTGTGTTAAAGGCGCTGGATTGCTTTGGGTCATGCACCTCTCTACACACACTTAAAGAACATAACACGTCCTGAACAAGCAAACACTTCACAACTTAACAAAAACAGAATTAAAAGCTAGATTAACACCAAACAAACTTTTCAGGATAACGG